TGGGAGGTGGGGACAGAGGCTGGGGCATCACAAGCCCCCTGCTGAGACTTCACCCCAGTGGCTTCCAGGCAGTAGCTTCACCCCAGGAATTACGGAAATATTTGTGTTCCCCAAATCTTGCTTTAGGCACCATCCCAAGGGAGCTCAGTGTTTAGAGTGCTGTGCGCTCAGCAGTCCGGCGTCAGACTTTATGAGGCAGGAGAAACGGCAGCAGACAGGAGTCTTCCTCGGAGTGTTTCTAGGGAGGTAATGAGGACGTCATTGTCAGATCACCCATAAATATTGGATGTGTCCTTCCTCCAGGGCAGTGTGGTGGGCCTTGGAGTCAGCTTAGTGTCTGCTTGCTCCCCGCTCCCCTCTGTGCTCACAGTGAGACATTGGGAGAAGCCGCAGCCCTAGATGTTGGAGACGGCTGCTTTCTGAAGGAGTTGAACACTGACTCCTGGGCTTGAGGATGGAGCAGCATCCACACTCCTCAGCAGAACCCGTATACTACACATAGGAAGCGCTTCTAAGGTGGAGGGATAGGTTGTGGTGTGGCCCTTTGCAGTTGGCCAAATCCTTTTCCTGGGACACATGCGGAGTGGAGGCACCCAGAGGTGGGGGAGGGGGGGCTGTCAGGGGGGCTTCCTTGGAGCGCACATTCACTCCACAGACATGCATGGACCATCCCTTCATGCAGACCCTGCAGGTCTGGAGCTCCTAGCCTGGAGCCTGGGGTGGGGAGGAGGGCAGCATGAGACAGCTAAGAGAGTCCAGGACATGGGATGCACGCAGTGAGGGAAAATAAAGTGTTCAGGGAGCATGGGGCCAGGCAGTTGATCCTGACCGCATCTCAAAGGCCTAAAATCCCCATTTATAGGAATGTAGCCTGGTGAGATCTGGAAAACAAACAGATTCCCTGATGACTTACCAGTGGTTCTCAACCTTCTGGCCCTTTAATACAGTTCCTCATGTTGTGACCCAACCATAAAATGATTTTTGTTGCTACTTCATAACTATAATGTTGCTACTGTTATGAAACGTAATGTAAATATCTGATATGCAGGATGGTCTTAGGCGACCCCTGTGAAAAGGTCGTTCAACCCCCAAAGGGGTCGCGACCCACAGGTTGAGAACCGCTGACTTAAACATTGCTGAATTGCGAACTCCTGCAAGGGCAAGGATTAAGCCTCTTTGACTGGCTTGGTCTGTCTGCCATGCAGTTGAAAGCACATGAGCATTGAATATGGCAGAACTACGGGATAGTCAAGGGAGAGGCCTTTGCCAGCAGTGTGGGCAGGTGGGGGAGGGCTGCCTTACATGAGGACTGATTGGCTCAGTGCTGACCCTGGATAAAGTCACCTCTCTGCCTTCCAGAATAAGTGTCACCCATCTTCACAGGTGATTCAGGCTAAGTTAATTCAACCCTGGCCTTTAATCTGTCTGTCCAGAATGTTGGCATTTGGCCGCCTACCCTCCCTAACAGAGTATACAGGAGGCGGGCCGTCTTAGAAGGGTGCTTTGTGTTTGCAGAAAGGAAGATGTTGTGCACATCTGAGGTTTTATCATTTGCGGGTTGTGACTCAATAAGGACATCATGCCCCTTGGGGAAGCAAAGCAGGCCCGGGACACACGAGCTGGGCGACCGTGTTCAAGCATGTCAGAATAGGCCAGAGGGTCACCGTCAGAAGTAACCCTGGAGCAGGACTAGCTCTGGAATGCACACCTCCAATCCGGACGCTGGAGCAATCTTCTCTTCAGACGCAGATAAAATCAGACCCTCTGGGGTCATGCGTCCCATTCCGGGAGCTTCGCTGAGAAGGGCTTTGGACAGGCTTCAGAGGAGAGCTGTCAGGATGATTGAAAGTCTGGAAGATAATACCTCCGAGAGCAGGTTAAAGGACACAGGTCTGGCACCAACTAGCTGTGCGTTTTAGACGAGTCACTTCTACTCTTAGGAGCCCTGTTCCCTCTCCTGTGAAATGAAGACAGTGGCCTGGCTGACACTCGGGTCCTCCCAGGCCTCCCAGCATTTCTGTAATCCAGCAGGAGAGGAACTTTGTCACTGGTTTTAATTACATGCCTATCTGTTACCCATCTGTCTTCCTTACAGGAGACAGAATAAGGGGATAAAGGCTGGCGATGGAGGCATTTTGCTGAAGCAAAAGCAATGCCGTTACAGGGCTTTTCCCTAACAGACAGCAGAGTTCAGAACGATAAATGGAATTTACCTGGAAAGTTTTTGTTGAAAACACTCAGTTCTCATGTCTTCAAAAGTCATAGCAGACTCTTCCACCTGGAGCCCTTGCCCCACCCATGCAGACAGGAGAGCCTCTTGATTCCTCCATGCGGCCAGGTGAGATGCGAGTGATGTGTTTCATCTCCCAAAGTGATGCCGGGAATTTGCACCCATGTGCACTGACTACAGGTCACTGCAGGGCATGAACTCCATGTATAAAGGAGGGGGGTGCACCTCCAGAAAAGCTTAGCCCTTGCTTTCACAGTGCTTCCAGGGTCGGGGGCTGCCTGCCAGCTGCTGTTGACATGTCTCCATGAAGTCTCAAAAGGTGACTTGTCCCTGGAGGCAGCACCCTCAGCGTTCTACCCCCAACCTCTCTATCCTCTACCTTCTCTCTGGAGGAGCCAAACCTTTGGAGTAAGAGTAGGTGAAAGTGGAGCATCTGGCACAGAGTTTGAAAAACAGAACTCTAGAGCCTATAGCTCCCATTCTTCCCTGCCTGGGTGGGAGTGAATCAGCACGGGGTTGTGTTTCATGGAGTGTGGGAGCCTAGATCACGGCCATGCTGACAGGGACTAACACCCAAGGCCCCGTGTCCACCTTCCAGTAGTGCTCTTCTTGGTCAGGCCTGCTTCTCAACTTGGGCTGCACTTTGCAATCAGCTGGGCAGTGTTTTTGAAAATACTGATGCCCAGGTTTCATTTGAGATGAATGAAATCAGGATCTCTGGGGTTTCAGGAGGAATTTCCTTATGCTGTAAACTGTACTTTGAACCACTATATGATTCCAGTGGCAAAGGAACCTAAAACACACAAAACATCAGGAGAATCACAAAGGAATAGAAACCCAGCTTACATCCCCATGTCCCTGGCATACATAACCCTCCTTAAAAACCCTCTTCTTTGGAGCTTCTCTGCTTGTTCGTGCCTGTGCTATGCATGCGATGGACATATCACCTTTGATGATCTGATGTACTGAAGAACATCTGCGTGAGTCAGCAAAAAAACAAAACAAAACAAAACAAAACTTGGTTGTAGGTCTTGTTCTTTAAATCTTCACCTGAGGATATGTTTTACTGATCTGAGAGAGAGGGATCGAGGGAGAGAGAAACATCGGTGTATGAAAGAAACATCAGTGGGTTGCCTCCCTTATGTGCCCTCACGGGGATTGAACCCACAACCTGGGTATGTGCCCTAACGAGGAATTGAACCAGCAACCTTTTGGTGCATGGGATGACGTTCCAACCAACCTAGCCACACTGGCCAGGGCTAGGCCAGTTTTGACATCCGCTTACTCTCTTGCTGTTTGTCCCAACCACGGTGATTTTGTCATAGCGCCTGACAGTAGGAGCCTGAAAGTTAGTAGGATCTCAGTATGATTTCAATAACTAATGGGCAATTCTTCATCTTGCCCCTGAACATTTCAGCCCACTAAGTACTTAGAGAGTATGCGGGTAATTTATTCAGAACTTAGAAGAGCGGCAGCACTGAATCAGTATTTCATATCCGTGGGGGCTCCTGGCTGTGATACAGATTTACAGAATTTTATTTTCCATCTACAGTTTTCCTGCCCTACCTCATCTACCGGACAAGCAAGGGGCTCGCATTTGTGTTACGGCTGCGGGATGTTTTCACCTTGTCTGTATATGCACCATTAAATAGTTCAAGATCAACTGCAGAGGAGATAAACAGCAATCTTTTTCACTGTTCAGAGCTGGGTTCTTTGATTCCACTTACTCCTGGGTTTTCACTGTTGTTATTTACTATTCCTTTGCAGCTCTGTAGGTGCTGGGTGATGGATGGGGCAGAGTGCAATCTGTCAGAGCGAGGCGCGGGCATACAGATGGCGAAACCTATTACGCCAATCATCAGTACCCACTTAGAACTCCTGTTTCTCAGCTCTGTTCATCTTTGTTCAAGCTTCTGTTTGTACCCGAAAGGCTTCATTCTCAACCGCCCTCTTCACCTCGTCATCTCCAGATCACTCCTCAAGGCTCCTGGGGTCCTGATAATATCTGCTGTTCTTCCCCATGACCACACCTACCCCTGCATCTGCACTCCTTGAGGACAGAAATCATACTTCTTCTTGTTTGAATTCACAGCACTTAGCAGATTATAAACACTTGAGAAGTTTTTGATCAGTATATACATTTGATATACAGTTGTCTGGCCATCATCCGAAAGTATGTCCTGAGGAAAAATATCACCCCCCCTCCCCCAGCCCCTAAAGGAAGAAAAAGTCACTATGCTTCCCTACTAAGTTCCCAGGCAGGAATGGCGGTTCCTCTTTGACCCCCTTCCTACAGTGAGTCCTCTCTTCCTTCTGACGGCCTTGTAGGAGTTCTCAACTCTCCACGCATTCCCTAGCATCCTAACGAGGCCTTTCCCCCTCCCCTTCCTCTTACAACACAGTGTTGGCCTCCTCACTTGTCTCCCTGTTGGTAGTCTCTCTCACCTCCAACCAATTTTGCAGTCAGCTTCCACACTAATCTTTATAAAGGGAAAGGCTTGCTTCTGCCTTGAGCTTGCTCAAGAACCCATCATGGCTCCCTATTACTGTTTATTTTTTCCTAAAATGCATCTTTTAGTCATTATCAAACTACATATCCTAAACCTGTTCCCTCCTCTACTCTTGCTCCGCCCACCCAAGACAGATTGTCAACTCTTCAGTGGGTTCACTGCAGTTCAGTGGTTGTTTCCCTGCCCATCCCATCAACATGCCCACAATAGTAACATCACAATAGTAACTGTAACCCTTATTTCATTCCAGCACACATGAGAACACTCAATGAGTATATACCACGTGCCAGCCTTGGGGTGCGGGAGAGCTGGTGGAACTCAAAGTGAATAAACTGTAAGTAGATAATCGCAATATTACATAGACTGTAGATAACATTATAATAGTTGAAGAAACTTTTAAATGTATTTTGATCTATGGTTTATGGAAGGACTCATTGAATCAGGGCCTTGATACAGGATTTTTAAAGGGAGAGGGTAGACCTTGCAGGGTATTGGGGGTTGAGCGGAAGGGTGGAGTAAAGTGAGAAGAGCAGCAAATTGCATGGAATTTGAAGGTACAGGATATTCTAGGGAACAGTCCGTTATACATAGTGTAGTTGGAGCATAAGGTATTAGGGAATGGGAGGGTGTCGCAGCGAATATGGAAGGGCAGAAAGGTTCATTGGCACCAGGTTGTGTAGCCTCAAGGGTTTGGACTTTTTGTGTAAGAAAAAAAGCCATTGAAAGTTTTGAGCAGTTCTGATTGCAAATTTTTGCAGGACTTTGTGGCATAATTCCCTTAAGGGCGTTGAGAAGTAAAAAATCGGCCTAAGGCAACCAATTTCCTTTTTTGCATGAAATGCAAGACTTGAAAGAAATATGTCAAATAAAACTGAAAACTGTCGAACATCTCAGACAGCCAGGAGTTTGCTCTCTGATGTGTGGGATTTTGCTAAATGTATAATATTTGCATGTTTCCAGTGTTGTCATAGAAGCAAGTGGCATGTTTTTGAGAACGCAGATCTCTGGTGTTTCCTGGCTAGTACAGGATGTGCTTGTATTGGCGGAGTTGGGTGCCTGGAGCCCTAACCGGGTGTACATGTACCTTCCAGAGTTGAGATGATGGGATGGTTCTTTCACCCCTTAGCAAGAGTGCCCACTGAAGTCAAAGTCAATCAGGCAGGCTGAAATCAAAAGCAATCCCTTCTCACCAACAGTTGCATTTGCATTTATTTATTCAGAATTGATATTTTACTGGAAGTGGCGACTTGCGGTCATTTTCTTTGGATCATTAAAACGTGTTCATATGAGCCATAAACAAAGGCAGCCATGCCCAGATATCAACCAGAACAACTTGATGAGCGACAGTTGCATCGCAGTTCTCCCACAGCATTGCACAGGGGCCCGGCTGACTACCGTTACTGAAGGCAGTCTTGGCAGGGGCGTTTAGACAGGTGATCCTTTGTGGTTTCCACCCCAAGACAGGCTCGAGGGGGAGAGGATGCTGCCGTATAGCTACCGTCGCTCAAAAGCATTTCAACACTTCAGTTAAATTGGTGGGGCGAGTAATGCTATAATAGTGCTAAAATCCTTTCAGATTTACTTTGGCTATGGTTTTTGGAAGTATTCATGGAATCAGGGCCTTGATACAGAACACAGAATTTTGACAGGAAGAAGTAGGACCCTGGTGGAGTAGAGTAATCTTGCTGAAAGGAGAAAATTGCATGGGGTTTGAAAGTGTAGCATGAAATAAGCAATCATATTGTCGAGAAAATGTATTGCGATTACTTGGTTTTTAAGCACGAGCACTTTAAACTTTAAGGAACTGGTCTTACCTGTATCCCAGCGCTTATATTTTGAGAGCCACTTCTCAGATAATTAATAAATTGAAACAGAATTGAGGGGCTGTAATGCGGCAAGGAGAGGTGAAGGAAAGGGTGAGGGGTGGCCCACACGTGCTTTGGAAAACGCCAGCCCAAAGAGTCTGGGCGCACAGTCCTTCTGGGGAGGGAGCGATCTGGATGATCAGATTCTTGGCTGGAAATGCTTCACCTTAGAGTCCCTCAAGTTCAGACCTGACCTAAGGCACCCACATGCTCTTTCTCTGCAGTCACCGAACCCTTCACTATTGGGCACATAGTAGGTGCTTAAAAACTGTTTGTGGAGCAGATTTTCATAGATAAGCCAACTTCCTGAATGTAAGTGAATCTGAACCGGAATGAGAGATCCCCATGCCTGCATAGGGTGCCCATCCTGTTTCCAAAAGGGCCAGATACCAAATGCTGACAGACATTCTCTCCTTGTTGATTTGTTCCTAGTTAGCCATTTTTTGAATGTTAGTTAAACAAACTAAACATCCTGTGTTTCTGACAAAGCTGAATCGATTGCAAAGGTAAAATAAGAACTTCCTTTCCCCAAGGCTGTGTTCAATTCTCCCAAATGGAACTAGAAAACACTATTATTAGTTTTAGCGATGCTAAATTTGTACAATAGCAATCTCCTCTCCTTGGGGATTCACGATAATCCCCACCATTTATTGAGCATGTATTGTGCTCTGGTTTTTGGCACTTATCTGATTGGGTAATCCTATGAGAAAGGTACTAGAAACTGAGGATCAGAGACATTAAATAACTCAGTCACACCTAATAAGGGACAGAGCAGAGATTGGAGCTCAGGGCACAATGACTCGAAAGCCCATTTTCCCACTGCTCTGTATCCCAACACGAAACTGAGTTGGGTTGAAAATAAGCTCATGGCCGAAGAAGTATCTCTCACAGGGTTAGATTGCTTGGTGCCTCTCAGGGTATTTCAGCTTAACACCCTAAGGTCAGTTAGCTTTGTGTCTCTGATCTGTGGACATCTGGTTAATTCCAGTCACATGCGGGCATTCGCACTCCAATTATAACGTGAGCTCTAAATCTGTTGGTGTGTCACAAAGGCACAAGTTAAAATCCAGCAAAGAACTGGAGCTGCCACTGTTCCCAAGCAGAAACATCCTTGGAAGCTTATCTGAACAGAAGGCCCATCTGAAACCTTGGAGGTTTGCCCGGCCCTGGTTTCCTGGCTAACTGAAAGCAGAGAGGCCCAGACACGGAGCCAAGAGGTTCACACTTGTGGGATCAGCAACCTAAATTTGAAGATTTGGACCAGGGAGGCCAAATGCAGCCTGCAGCCAGGGCCCTGCGGCGTCATTGCTCTGCTGGGCCCCACAGTACAAGGAAAAACTTGTGAGAAGATAAATGTTATAAATGAAATAACAATGCAAATACTAACCAACC